ATTAAAATCCCTCTTAAGATTTATGTATAGGCAATAATATATTCAGTTAGTGCGGTTACTTTTCTTATCAAAACTGATAAGATGCAAACGGCAAAGGCGCAAAACACCCAAGTACGAAAGCTATCTTCACAACTCGTTCAAAATGTAAGTGAAATCATTCTTATTACTTAATAATTTTAAATATATTAAAACTTTGTTGGTATAAGCGTATTGTATACCATTTTTTTTTGTTTTAGATAATTGTGGCTAATAGTTAATACTCAAACGTTAAGATGCAATGTAATACAACATTTTCAAAAATGCATCAAGAGAATTTTTCAATTCAAACTCAAGTAAATGAAAACAATTTTTCCCTTTTTGATAAAAACTTGAAAAGAATTAATAAAGATCTAATAGAAGTTAATGAATATTACACCCCTAAAAATGATCATCCAGATTCAGTTGAAAACCATTCTCAGATCAGAAGGAATGAACAAATTAATGAACCACTGGATGAAAAAATTGATGAATCTTTACACTTGTACGAGGAATTATACAAAATTCAAATGAATGAAATTGAAGTAAGTAGAAAAATGGATGTACGAAATTCATTAAACAAAAAAGTTGAGACTTGGGAACAGACAAAAAGAGAATGTTCTAAAATACCAACAAATGTTGATGAAGACTCCAAGTGTTCTGTTCGTAAAAGACTTGTTATTGATAGAAGTTATAATATTAAACGACTTGATACCAATAATGATCAATTTCAAACTAGATTATGCGAAGAACAAAAAACATTAAATAAAAAACAAGCAAATATGAAATTTGTCTCATCTCTAAATTTTGCATTAAGTTTATTATCCGACATAAAAAAATTATTGAGTGAAAGTCATAATATGACTCCACAATTAGTTAGTAGTCATAGACACAATTATGTGGTTCTTGAAACAGCAATAAATGAATTAAAAAATAAATCTTCAAATACTAATGAACAAGATGTCTTAATTATCAATCAATATCTACAAAATATTCAAATACTTTATGATCAATTACTGAAAATGTCAGCTAAACATGTTTCATTTAAAATTGATGGTCATAAAAATGATAAGAATGATATACTAACAGAAAATATTCTTAAAAGCAATGAAAATAATCATCACAAACAGATATTAAAACCTAATGTTCTTGAAACAAAAAATAAATGCGAAGAATCCAAAAATGAAATAAACAATTTTAGTTTTATTAAAAAAGAAAATCCTGTAGTTAAATCTGATGAATTTTTTACATTTAAGTTTAACACAGATAAAAAAGTTAACAATAGTAATATTTCAGATTTTTCTTTTAGAATTAATAAAGATTCAAAACATGAAGCTATTAATAACAATTGTTCTTATAATTTTGAAGATGAATACAGACAGTTTTTAAAAAATCATTTAACTGTGCAGGAATATTTAAAAAAAATTGAAGATGGTTATTCTTCCTTTCTTTGTAATGAAAACCTAAAACCTTTGAGACAAGAATTAGTCAAAGCAATTAATACACCAGTTAATAGTATATCTTCAGTATCTCCATGGCATATGAAAGATAAATTTGAGAAACTTGATGCATTACTGAAATGTAAAACGGTGAAAACTGGTAATTCTACTGTGAAAGCAGATAGTCATCCAGATGCATTGATATTTTGTAAAGATACATTGGCTAAAAAAATTATAAATATTGGTGAGCAAGTGGCTAGTGTTAAAATAGAAACTGGTTTTGAAGTTGCATCAATTGTTACAGAACTTTGGAAAATCCATCCAGATTTTGGTATTTTGCTATACGCTAGATTTAAACAAAAATGTCCATGTCTTATCCCATACAATGCTGAAAAAACTAATGAAGAAACTGATGAACAATATTATAAATCATTATGTTATAACTATACAAATGGAGTCGTAGAAAAACAAGATAAGTATGTAAAAAGAATGACTGGTATCATTAGATTATTTGCAGCAATCATAGTAACTGAATCCAGAAGTGGTAAAGCATTAGGTATTGGACAAGCCTGGATGCTGATTGCAGCAACTGTAAATTTAGTTCCTCAATTAGATATTACAGCCATTTTTTTACATGAAATTCTGATAATTACTGGTTATAGTCTTAAACAAACTTATGGAAGACAATTTATCAAAATGTTAGAATACATAAGTACCAATTACATGAAAAAGATTGATGCAGTTACACCGATCGGTTGTGGAGGTCCAGTCCAAAGATTAAAAACGTTAATCAGTAAAGTTATTCAAGTAGGTTATGTTGAAAAACCTAAAGGTATAATACCTCATAATTTTTGGTAAATAATGTATCATTTTTTTTTTGTAACCATATTTAAAATTTTTGATGAAAATAAAAATAAAACCATTTGAATCAAATGTTTGTTAAATCCAAGCAATTTATTTAAAACTATGAACCTTAAAATAAATTACATATGTACCTAACCTTCTTATGGCTGATAAAGTGAACTTATAATATCTAGTAATATTTTTAGTTCCTATAAATAAGTATATAATATGTATATAGTTCCACATATTTATTATAAAATGTAATGTATGCAAGTATGTAACTTGAAAAAAATAATTATTTTACCGTATAATATTTTAATAATGGAAACATATATTAAAATATAATTAATGTATGCATCTTGTAAACTTGTGTCTTGTATTAACTTATATTATGCTCTTCAACATTGAAACATTTAAATTACAAGGCAGAAAAATACTAATTTTAAGTCATAACCTTTTATGCTGAACCCTTTAATTAATATTTTCTTATATCGTCGACCAATTTTACAGGAGAGAAAAAATGTTGAGACTATTTTGTCAGCCTAATTCCCTAATTTGCAATGGTCATACCTCCATCGTTTGTTACAGTAATAATATGGATACAACTTTTTCTAGGTATTAAAAATCATACATCGGAGATATGACGATCTCTATCAATTTCATAGAAGATAAAATTTCAGTTACAATTTTATCATACGATGAGGTTTTCTTTTCTGAATTTCAATCACAAATAATCTCAAAATCCAAGAAAATGGAGTTACGGCCATGATATTTCAATATACCTTGGTTTCGACCCTTGGGATTTAGGCTGATGAATAAGTTTCAGCAGGTATTGTTAGCCTATTTGCTTATCATATATTACAACAATGATCAAAATATGGTAACCACTAAAAGATATACTATACAGTTATTTTTCTCAAAAAGTATGAACACATACTTCATTGTCCAGTTTGTTTTTCTCAAACAGGAATTCATAGCTTGAGAATATTATTGTTAATAAACAATAAGAATAAAATTCAACTATGCAATTCATAAAAATATATTACTATTGTCGTACTATCAATAAACTAGTCTATCGATTCATTTTGGCAAATGTAATATGACAACCAGAATTAAATAAATATAAATAAGTGTAAGTATGAAAAAATCTTGAGAGAGGCTTCAATTACCTGATTTTTGTTTTTTCTTTAGTTTTACACTATACTGTATAATATAATTTTATCATACTTATCTATATAGTGTATAGTATAACCCTGTAGAAGAGTTAGGAAAAATTAATTAAGTATACACAAAACATTGTTTGAGATTTTTTTTAAAGATTTCAAACCCCTAATATTTGCGCCACTATTAATAACTCACTTAAAAATTAAAATGTTTAAAAAAAACATTTGTAGTGAGCACAACACAAGTTATGTTGTTAGTTGTTATCTCAAAATTTGACAATGTGTCAGCGAACCGATTAACCCTTATATAACAAAACTAATGAAACTAAATGTGAACTACTGAATATAAATTTGCAATTTTATGTCGTAGTCACTAACGAAGGCTCAATTATTATTATAACAAATCTAATAATGCTAAAATATTAATCATGGAAGAGGGCCATATCCTTGCCCACACTATATAATATATTTTCTTATATCATATAAAAAAATATTCAATAAAATAAAAAACATAGAAAGCTTCATAGCATTTATAATAGTGTGTTATATTAAATCAATTGAACACAATGTCTAATAAATAATATAATATACGGTACAGTTGGTACATAAACATTTATTTACATTTAAAATTAACTCTTATACATATATTCTGACTGGTATTAATTTTAATAAATACTTAATTATATTACACAAATAAAACATTATATAATTATATTCAGTTTTAAGTAGTCTTTTTTAAAAATTTTAATACTTTTATTGGAAAGTACTACCAATCAAATTTTGATCTTGATATTTATACATGTTAAGAAAAAAGTTGATAAATGTATATTCAATAAAATACTTGAAAGTCCAAATAAATAACAAACATACAATAACTGTAATGTTATAAATCCTAATTATTTTTTTAACTGCAAATTAAAAAGATACAAATTAGGTGATATCTCTAATTATAATTAAAAAATATTTATATATTTGGTTATAGCATAGAGTATAAATATTATGTTTTAAAAACTGCTATTATTCTTCATAATATTTTAAACCAAGCAACCTTGATAAATAAATACATATACTTAACAAGCAGTTTATTTGTTTCAAAATATTTTAAATATATATATATATAGTTATGTATAGTTAAGTAATGGTAAATATTAAACTAAATAACAATGCAATACAAAAAAATGGAATTGCTACTCAAAATTAATTTATTATAATTAAAAATTTACAATAGTTATAACTTCTGACTTAGTATAATAGTATAATACTTTGTATTATATAATAATAAGAAACACAAATGATTTTTCTGCATCTTCAAATATCAAATTTACAATTATTTCATAAAAAATGTTCTTTATACGGTAATAATTTTTATTGTGAACTCAAAGTGAAAATCTTTAACTTTTTGTTTATGCCTATAGGCTATAATAATATAATATGTTAGATGTAGAAGCAAAACAATGATGTCTCTTAATGTTTTCAAAATGTATTGAGATAGTTACATAGGTAGCTGAATGCTATATAATACTATTTATGCGATACTGTGAGAATATTGATTCAAACATATTTTAATATGTAGTATATTTTTGCTAAGTTATTTCAAGCATCATTTGGATAAAAAAATCCGAATATAAAGGTTATTAAATTTTAAACTGACTAATAGGTTGGTGGGAATTTTTTATACAGAGCAAAAATTAATATATTATTGTGAGTAATATATTCTATAATACAATGTTTTTGATCTCCATAAACTATAGGAGTTATCAAATTTAAGTAAATAAACTCCTTCCCCAGGATATAAATGACTTCCAGCATATACTTCCTTGTGACAATCTCTTCGGTATACTGGTATTATTATTGACAATGGCGGTCGATTCAACTGATTGCTCTTTTTAATGTCGTTAATTGTAACACCATTTTGTTCCAATTCATGAAGTAAATCTAAAAAAATTATTATTCACATAATATATATATATTTAACCTATATTTGCACAACACATTATATTTCTTTTTATCCAAATGACTATATTCTCCCTTGATAATATATCTATCTATGATATTTTCAATATTCAGGAATTTTTGGTAGTTAAGGGGGCTGAGTATAACACATTTTAAGGAGTAATATTTAGGAAATTCATATGACATGTACATTTGCGCTATGTGTATGAGTGAGTAAATAAATAGACATTAGTGTGTTTCTGAGAATTGCTCACGCCGCTGGATGCAACTCTTGTATGCACACACATGTCAATGCATTACAAAAATTAAATATATTCTTGTTTGCATAACTATAAAAACTACTAAAGGCAGTTGTAAATTAAACACACTTCCTAAAGTTTGATTGTAATTTTGAATAAATGGTTGAATTTAAAAGTTTCTAGACTATGCTCTTTAGGAATTATTTTTTGATTTAAAATGATGTGCCCAAAATAAATAAAAATTGAATGCAATTAGATCATGAGATTTTTGAAAAAAATATCTTAATTTTAACGTCCTCTAAAATTGATAATCGCTTTCCTAAAAAGCCTAGATATGCTGCCACAGAATTCATATACAAATTACATATTATAATAAAAATATATATTTGACAGCCCATGTGTTATTTACCACCGCTTATTGGTCTAAAACGTATAGAAATTACGCGTGCTTCAATCCCCTCAATAATACATATTTATACCTTGATTGATATTACCATCATCATCGTCTTCCAAGTCGTCACAATCATCATCTTCACTCTCAGATACATGCACTGAAACTTGACTAGTACTAGGTTTAACCCATTCAAAGTAAACACCAAAACCTATGTCATGACCATCAGTTGCAAACTCCCAAAATACACAGTTGCCGCCTTCAGCTGTTGGAACTCTAACCTATAGGATCACAAAATAAGTATTAGTCAGTTTTTAAAAAAGTTGAAAAAACAATTAATAATTGTCTACAGTAAAATGTACATATTCCATGTAGTGATTCAAATGATTACCGTAACTGTTTCTCCGTGGTTTACTTTAATAACAGCTTCTCCACCTTCCCGCAGTAAATTAGCTTTAAATTCATCAATATCTTTTCTTGTCCACATTGAAGCAGGGAACAATGTTTGAACAGAACCTATAATTTTAAAAAAAGTTATTGAATGGAATGTACAAGAAATCAATTCAAAATATACATTCTCCAGAAAGACATTGCCCATTTTCACATTGCTCATTGCAGATGCTCTCATGTTCAATAATTTTATCTCCAGGAACAGTTACAGAGTTAGTGGTTATCTCCAATTCTTTCCCAGGTTCATAGTTTTGTTGTAACTGTTGCATATACTGATGATAATGTTGTTCTTGTAATTGCCTTACAAGTACAGCTTGCTATAAATATCATAATGTTTAGATTCTTTAATCATTTCATAATATATTATATATTTCTAATAACTATTATAGTTATATATGTGGTACTTCTATTGTATGTTACTAACCAATAACTGTAATATGTCACATATTAAACTACCTAATAATTAATTACACTCTATTTACTTTTTTTTTGCTGATGATGATGATGATCAATGCCAAGTAATTAAAAAAGTTCTTCAAGGATAATATATTGCTTTTAAGTCACCCGGAAATACTTCTAATAAATTGTTAAGTACAGCATTAACTTATTACCACTATAACTTCTGCAGTTGGAGATTTAACAAATTTGTTACTCCTCGGGTTTTCATACTATACTTAGAATTAACAACTCTCCTATATGTACTCTAAAATTTGTTTATGTAACCACTGTAAAGATCAACAAAAAACACGGAATGATCTACCATTCCATGAAAATAACCTTAGTTTAAATGTGTATAATGTAAATGCTCTTCACTTATCCAAATAAATAACTGTCCACAATTAAATTTAATTTTGTATAATAGATATTTAAGTTATTGATCTCTTTTTCAACTTTAAAAATCATTGTTCTAGAACCCAATCAATAGTTTTAAAATATACCAAAAAACAATGAACTTTGTATACGAATACCCTAATTTCATTCAGTTGAATGATCATTATTATCAGTATCACTTGATGCATCAGTACATCATTGTCTTCATTTGTAACTAGTGGCGGCTGGTGATATAGGTGCACAGGAGCACGTGAACCACCCAACAAATTATTAGAATCCTATACTAAATTATAATTGGTAAATATGCACATGGTCTGTAATAAAACAAAAAAAAAAAAATTAATAGAAAAAGTTTTCGCAGCTTTTATTGTTCAGAAGTGTGACTATTAACGATGAAATAATTTGCAGATATTTGTTGTGCTCCAGGCGGCCGTATAAAAATAATTATATGCATTGACACATCAGTTAGTAATACATGGTTGTTTGAAATACATTTAATGTGTGCACCGGACTTATCTTAATCGTACTGAGCTGTTGCGTCGATCGACAAAATGATAACTCACCACTGTACATTGTTCATTAATTTACGTAAAGATTAAGTTTTTAAAAATGTAATTTTTGATTTATTTTAATTGTATAATAATTATTGTATACTCAAATTATAAATTATAGTTACTTTAAGATTTTGTGCTTATGTTTCATGCATAATATGTCAGTAATAAGTTATTTTTATTTTACTATGGTAAAAAGCTTAAAAAAATTAATTTAGATAAGTAGGTCATTATTTTGGGTATATACCTATAACAAAATTGTTCACCATCTAACATAGGTTTTTAATACATTTTTGTGTGCATCACCTCATGTGGACCTCGCAAGCCACCACTGTTCGGAACTATATCACAGCCAGGGTTGGGCAGTATCTTAGTTACAATTGTATCTTGTATCTCAATACAATAATATGAAGTATTGAGTATCTTGTATTTCGATACATTTTTAGTCAATGTATCAAGTATTTCATAAAACAATTTAATCAAAAGATACTCAACACATTAATGTGATACTTTGAAAAATTAATTGTTTACAATTATTTTCACTTGCCTACCTAATAGTAGTACATACAAATCGTGACTGTTCGACAATGTTTTAGTGTAATATGTGTAAAAGGAGTGACAAATTTAAATTTATGCATACCATAATTTAATCTCAGTATTAATTAAATATGTAGTTACAGGTGATTTTTCTAAAGCTGTAGCCGAATAATACTAATTGTGTTGTAGAATATTATTATTAAGTTATTAAATATGTGGTCTTTATCAACTAATCAATAAATATATACTTAATTGTGAGTAAATAAAATTAAAATCTGTGTCTTATTTTATTTTGAGTATCTAAATACTTGAAATGTAAGTACCGAGTATCTAGTATCTCAATACTAATTTTTGAGTATCTTGTCCATCCCTGATCAAAGCAAAATTGAACACCTAATAGTAACTTTTTTATTGTGTCTTGGTGGATATTAATCAATTACCATATTAGCTAAGCATTAAATCAATAACTTTGTTACCTATTGTTTATCTTAATGATCCAAGTCACAGGCAAAATCACTTTCTCATGATAAAATAAAAATATAAGAGTAAATAATGAGAAACAATTTAACGAGAAGAATCATACGACACCATTTAAGTTACTGTAGGATGCATACACCAGCAAAATAGTAAATATGTGTACTCAATTAATAAATATATATAAATAAATTAGTCAGTAAATTATTACTTCATCTGGATTGTTTGGAAATTGATTTTGAGCATATGTTAAGAACTGGCTATAGGTCTGTTTATTTAAAGCTTCTTGAATGAGTTGTCTGAAATATTAATACTAAATTAGAATCTGCAAACAAAATTAATGACATCTACAGTACAACTATTTTAACTACTTGGTATTTTCTTGTCTACATCTATCTTCTTCATCTTTTTGTTTTAATTCCATTAATGCAAGTTGTTTTTCTAGTTCTTCCTGTTCTTTTTTCATATTTTCATCTCTAAAATATTATAAAAATTAAATTATATGAATACAATATTTATATCATTACTAAATGATAGTTACGTTATCCGTTTTTGTTCAATCAAATCAGCTTTATAAGCTTCAACAGTATGTTTAAATAAAGTACATTCTTTATTCACCAATTTAACAAAATTAACCATGGAGTTCTCTGTTGACATATCACCAAGTGCTTGCCATGCTAATCTAAAATATGATGATTTTCTTAAATACAAATACTTAAAGTATCATTATTTTTATTTACCTTCGATCTCTTCCAATAACATCAAACACACCTAATGGTGGTAATTTTGATTCATCCAACTTTCCATGGCTAACTTGACGTGTATATGCGACAAGTTTTAATTTATCATCATAAGTAAAATGTATGGCTTTGCCTTCTTTTTCTACACATAATAAATAATAAAGTAATTAATAACCAAAATATACCAACTAAATACCCAAAACTTGATTTTTTTCAGTTAATAACAAGTATAATACTTGTACTTAAACATGTATTTTAAAATGTACATAATATATTAATTATGATAGTTACTATTTATATATTCAAAATATATTTAATTTAAGTGATCTATTCAAGAAAGTCAAATTTAATAATTTATTGCCCAGGGAAGCAACTTCAGCAAAAGGATAAATATTAACAGTTGATTAGAAAGATTACCCAGCTTATCTAATAAAATAAAAATATATTTAAACGAATACAAAGCTAAGTAATGAGTAACAAGAGCATAAGATTCTAAATACTTCTCCAATAATTCCATATAATAGACAACATAATATTATACTTCTATTTTAGAAAATAGATTGTTACTCAACACCTAGGAAGAAATTTATTTAATCATACTACAAAATTAAAATAAACAGAAAATATTATTTAGATGGAATGAATATTTGTATTTGATACCAATTAAGTTATTAAAAATGTCATGTATTAAAATTTAAGCACAGAAAAATTGTACTTCAAAATTATAGAATGAATATTATTTTTACATAAAACTTGACCTACCCTTAAAAAACTTAAGCGCCAATGTATATAGTTCTTTCAATGGCAAGCCCCATTTTTGAACAATATCTTCTTCTTTGGTATTATTACACATCGTTCAAGTAAAATAAAATGACCGAAAGAGATACGAATGAATTGCAATTATATTATAACGATTTGACGATATTATGATTTGTGTTTTATATGACACACATCAGACAGACAAACACAATCGCACAAATACACAAATACTCAATACGAATAATTTAATTTAACATATTATTTTATTAAAATCGGCTAAAAATAAAATGTATAGGTTTACAAGGTACCTATTGAATTGATATTAAATTACATTTGATAATAGCGTAAAATAATCACAGACAAGACGTGTTGTTTTCATATACCAACCAACGAATAATAATAATAATGGAGTGATGCGCGGTTCAGTCTCCTATTCTGTGGTTCTGTCCAGGTTCTAGTCCATGGTTCTATAATGGAATGACCGAGGTGTGCTGGTTATTCATGTTATCAATAAGGATGCGATGATAACACGGACGTACCCGTGGATGATAACAATATTAAAATCTGAAATCTGAATTCAGCGAAATCATTTTGAGGTTAAGTAAATCGTTCATCAGTGAATAAAAAAAATAATAAATATCATGATAAAATATTATTTTCTCCTCAACGACTTGTTATTGTCCGTCATCTGATATAAAATTGTGTTGTGTAAAAAAAAAGAAGCCAAAAGAAAATGGGAATTATTATTTAATAATGATAATTCTGATATAGATGCAAATTCCAAGTTCAACCATATTAAATATTAATTAATAGTTTAAAGGCATTTTCGTAGTCATGTGCAACAACATTAAGGGATTTTGAGTTTTAGTCACCCATTTCAGACTTGTCAAGTAGTTACCCCAGTGCATAGTGATACAACGATTTGTCAAGGACGAAGAAATCCAAAACAACAAAGGTGGGTATGTGTGTGGAGTGTACGTTTGCGCGCGCGCATATGTGTTTGCAGTGTGCGTATGTTTAATGTTTATCTCGCACAGCTGTTGAGGGTAAAAATGCAATAAATAAAAAAAGAAACGGGAATACATAATAATATAATATTATGTTTATTGATGCATTCGTTATTTTAGATTTGATGTGTCGTAGTCCAATAATAGATTTTCGTAGAGGAGGGAAAAGCGTTTAAATCTTGCCGTCGCGTAGCAAGACTGGCCTCGAGTGGCGATTCTGATGACGGTGGGCTTGTTCCACCACCGCGTAAGAAAAGGCACTTGGATACGGAAGAGACCATGTTGCAGCCAACCAATGGGTGTTTGCAACACAATGGATCGGTGGATCAGCCATCGTCCAGTTCGACCGTTAATGGTTCGGCCACTGGCAACGGCGATGATCAGGAACAAAGTAATAGCTGTAACATCAAGGGCAGGTCAAGCCAAGAGATCGTTCGGCTCATAGGTCAACATTTAAAACTTATCGGGCTCAAGTAAGTTCTAATGAGACCTTTTTTATTTATCTTTTAAAAAATTAACTTAAAAATATACTAGGAACGTTCACAATTTAAATTTAGTCCAAACCTTCATTTCCTATAAAATAGTACAATGTACAAAATAGTCGAATATGGACCTTCTTATACAATCAAATGATAAAAAAGGCACTGGCCTACTGTGTTTAGAATATATACTCTGCCGTACCTAGTACCTACAAATTTATACCTATTTATTTAGTGATATAACTCTGATGGTTCAATATTTACAGTTAAGTTTTGAACAGTGGTGCAATTAGAGGGAGCTAGGGTGGCTATTTTTTTAAGATGATACTGCCACAAAGTGACGATAGAACATTTTATCAGTGTTACTCTATGTTCACATTTATGTTGGACCCGGTAGAAGGTACTAACTACTAACAGCTATTTTAGATTTCATAGGTAGCAATTCAAACATTACCATATTAAAACAATGCACATTCCGTCCATTAGTTCAATAGTCTGTTCATTTCCTCAAAAGGACAATATTTATTAGGTAGTTATCTTTAGTGTATTATGTAATTTTCCAAAAATATAATAATTCTATAATATTGAATTGTAATGCTATTTTCACACATGGATATTTTATTTTTTAAGATTCTTCCGTTGATGGTAATTACTACATTGTTTTTGATTAATAATTTTACTAAAATGGTCTTAATGGCGAAATTCATGTATTTTTTTCTTTTAGTTTTTACAATTCTTCATATAATTATGTGTAGGATAAATAATAACACGATGACAAATTATATTGTTGGAAATGAATAATATGTATTTTAATATGATATGTGTATACGCTTGTTTTTTACTCTTATATTAAGTTTAGAGTTGCCATTTATTTAAAATTATAGACTCAAAAAGTGAAATATTTAATAATATTAGTATTTCTTTGTGTATCATAATGCATTTATTAATTAGAATGTAATAAACACAGATAATTATTAATGAATAATGGTCAATAAAAACATAAGTAATAAGTGTATGGAATTCCACTAAAGTAAAATTAATTAGTAGTTGATAGCTCTTGATATTTAATATTACTATACCTATTAAATGGATTAAAAAATCATAATACTTTGTTTGAAATGAACATAATTAATACACCAAGCAAGACAAGCCAAATTATTTCAATATGTAAAGTACAATAGTTTTGAAAATATAAATAATTGATCAGCCGTCATTTTTATTAGGTTAGTTTAGGTTATATTATTGCTATATTAATTCATTATTATCTTCTATTGATCTCTGATTAAGATATGCTAACTTAACTTTGTAAAAGTTTTAGTTGCCACTGTAAATGTATTCCAATTTTCTCCATCAAAAGGTTCTGGATTCTTTCCTCCCAGTCAGTCTTCGAATCTCTATTTCATATTTCCATCCATCCATTCTTTCTTTTCTCTGGGTCTCCTTCCTTCTGATAATCCTTCCATTCAATAAAGAGTCTTTGTACCTTCACGTAGTTTGTTAATTTAGGTACTTACAAAATTTCCCCTATTTTTATATTTTTTCTTCTTAGTCATCAATTGAACTCTTTATAAAAAATGGACCCATTATTGTTTTTAACATCTTATTTTCAAACGTCTTTAATTTTTGTTCAACTCGTGCTGTCAAGAGCCATACTTGACTTCTGTAGACTGTAAGCTATTTTCGGTCTTACTATGACTATTATACAGGCATGCTTTTGTTCTTCCCTAGGTCTAAAGAAAATCTTTGATTTGAAATATTTGATTACTGCATAGTATGCATTTGCCTTTTATGAATGTAATTGCCTATTAAATTTATCACTAATCCATTATTCTCTGTAATTTTTACTTCTAGATATAAAAAGTGGTTTTTCAAACTCAAAGTTTTCAACCGTTAAATTTTCATCCTCACATGTCACTATTTCCATGACTTTATTTCCTACTTAGTTTATTACTTGACAGTAATTTTTCACTTTGTGTTGTTGTATTTGGTATTACCGTTTATCTATCTTCTCTATGTACATTTAAATCGCCAGCAAATCCTAGTACATTAAGCATGGTTTATCGTGCTAACCATTGTTAAACTTTGCTGTTATTTCTTTGGATGCTATATTTCACTTTTTCTGATGCAATGTTAAATAACAACTGTAAAATTGGATCACCTTGTTGTAGGCCAGTCATTACTTAAAACTTCTTTGATATAGTATTGTCCCCACTAATTTAATATCTTGTTTCTTTTATACACTTTTTTATAAGTAAATTAAGTTTTTTGGAGAAAGCAAACTTGTACATTATGTTGTATAAATTATCATAGTGGATATTGCCATACACCTTTGTCCAAAAATAAATTTTAATTTCCACATGTTTGATCTGAACTTCTACTTTTTTTTATACTTGTTTCTCAATAATTCCGAGTTAGTCAATTGTTAAGTTTGCCTTTCTAGAGTTCCTAGAGGCTGGTTCCACTGCCAATGGCTTTGGTTGTCCTATAAGTATTTTGGTTAATACTATATATGCAATGTTCAGTATTGACAGTTATCAGTTCCTCTTGTCTTCTTTTTTTTGTAGGGGTATAACTATAGATTTTGATGTAATTAATTGTATTTTATTAAATAACATTTGTCAACTCAGGCTATTTTTCATGTTTTATGTTTATCCTTGAGGTTGTACCTTAGTTGAGGTTTCTGACATTCTGTACACCATAAGACCTAAATTTTTAATTTATAATATGAACGCTGACGATCTCGTGATCAAAGAAAAAGGTGAGGATTTGATTTGATTAATTTAGATTCTCCACTTCTTGAGCCAAGTCTTCGTTTTACTACGGTTTGAATTTCTTGGGTGATTGTAGGGTTTTTCTGGTGGCCAGATGGTTGTGTCAACTATTTTTAAGTACAATACAAGTTAATTGCAATTAATAATAAATTAATGTATCAAATAAACATTGAAAAATGTTACCGTGCTATTTACTATTTTTTAAATTTTAATTTTAGTCAAACTGCAGAAGTATTAATGCAAGAATCTGGGTGTCGTTTAGAACATCCTGCTGCCACTCAATTTCGCCATCATGTAATGGACGGTGAATGGCACAAAGTATGTATTAACATTTATTTTTATCTAGTGCAAGTACTTTAATTGTAAACTGTTTTTATTTACTTAAAATACATAATGGTATGAAAAATATGTAATTAATATTTTATGTATTTTACTATTAATATTGTTAAATACTATTATGTCTATAATGAAAATAACTAACATTTTAGGTCAGTGCAGATTTGAATGAACTTCAAGCTTTGGTAGGGAATTCATGCCAATATTTTTCAGTAAGTATTTTTATTATTTATATTTGAAATGCATTCACTATATGTTTTTAATGAAAATTAATTATATTTCGAAGAAGTTATGTTGAAATGCTTAAGAATTACAAACCTTGAAATGTCCAATAAATAATGTTTTACTGTTATATATATCATCATTGTTTATAAATATTATAGATTGCTCACTAGCCTTTTTGGTGGTATAGAATAATTACTCCTGGTAGATAAACCACCCAAACCATGGGTGCGTACTGCGTGGTTGGTAATGGTTATAATCACTAGTAGTCTAGCCGACTTGCCATCTACTAAGAGTAATTATTTTACGCCACCGAAGAACTGGCCATTGAACAATCTATAGTGTTTATAATCAATGATATTATATATAACTTGTTTAGATTATTTATTTTATACTCTCATTAATTTTTTTACATTTTTTTAATAAATATTCTTCATGCCAGGTTTGGTTACCCTTCTAAGTTGATGTCCACTATAAATTTAATTATAAATTTACTTTTATTTTATAATATCATTATGAATATTACCTATGCAATTAATAATATTTGTCTGTTGTTAACATAG